GTATATAGGGGTATAGAGACTTCAGATGATGTAATTTGCCAAACAAAGTGTTCCTTCTTTCTTCTGTTAAGCAGATGAGGGTGAGGGATGATTATCTCAACTCAGTGAAGAATTGAGCTAGGTTGGGGGTGAGTTTCAGTCTTTACAAGACAATCTGTCCCTGGTTTACACCTATTCCTCAGATGTGAATTTTGATTGAGAACCCTCAGGTCTCTGTGTCTTCAGCCATGAAAGACTGGAGATTCAACTCTGCTCTTCAGAGGTTCCCAATCCAGCTTTCCTGGCCCTGTCCCCATGGAGATGTAAAATCTGGCAAATATCATGAGGGAGGAGCTGGCCTTGTGTTTGAGACAGGCCCTTTCTTCTTGGGGAGCCTTTGTTTTTTTAAGCACGACGGGACTAGGGAGGATTTCACTCTGCTTATTAGAAGCATTCTCAGGCCCAGAACTCAGCAAATGTCACGTGGAGAAAATTGGTTGTATTTTTAAGGCCACCTGTGTTCCAATTTGTCATTCAAGTACCATGTGGCCACTAAAAGCTTTGCTGGTTTATCTTTCTTCCATTAGAGGTCTTCCTTCTGGGCAAAGCTTGATCATTGGCCAGAGCTCCAAACTGGCAAATGTCCTGGGGGAGGGGAGAGAGAACAGCTGGAGCGCCTCATTTCATTTCATTGTAGTAGGAGCGCTGGCCCGCCACAGCCTACTGCATCCTGCTTAGAAGACAAAATTTCCTAGGCCTTTGAAAATCCAAGCCCTTTTCTCTTTTCAAACTATTGTCCTAGCATGTATTTCAAAATCTTAGCATTGACTTTTCTTTCTTGACAAATTTCTGCTATAATGTCACTGCCCTGAGGCTCTGGGTTGTCAAAATACCAATCAGTGTTTTTCAGACTATAGGTCACAACCCATGAAATCAGTTTAGAGGTCTTGCTAGCATTTTTTAGTGAAACAGATCAGAATAGATTAGAACGCATACACATAGTCAAGATAAGTATTGCTTCATGAAATTTTTGTGTGTGTATATGTGTGTTCTGATTTGCAGTGTAAGCCTATTTCTTTCCTGTGAGATGCAGCCTAAAATGTTTAAAAGTCACTGGACTTTCATTTAAACAAAGGAAGAGTCATGGGGGTGAAAACAAACATAATAGTTGAGTATGGACAACTTTTTGGAAAAGTTTGGCCATGAGTAAGGAGTAGACGGATTGAAAACTGCTCTTCTGGCCCCTAGAAAGCAAGAGAAGCCCATATGAGGGATAGATCATGAGCGTCAGGAACCATAAACACCAGAGGAGGAAATCTAGGCCTAACTTCAAATGAGGCGGGAGCGGGGTGGGGAGGTGGTCACAAGGAGGGCTAAAGATGAGAACTGACTTAACAGGCATTAGTAAGAGCCATGAAAACCCTGAGAAAAGACTATATAGTTCTTGGTGCCATAATCATGGGCAGCCCAGGGAAGAAAGGCCTGTATTTGGCACAGAACAAAGGTCAGCTGAGGGGATGAATTGGCATGTGGTAGGGCGAGGCTCTTCTGCTAACCCATAATTGGTGCTCCGGGGTCAGCAAAAAGATCCAGTTTCAGCCACAGGTCCAGAGAGACTATGACAGAACAAGTGCTAGTATCCTCTTCACCTTTTCCCTGCTTTCCTAACACTAAACACAGACCACTGACCTGCCCATAAAAGCCAAAGACACAGCAGACTGTATCTCAGTCTACTGGTTGGGTGGGATTGGGCTTGGGGTCTTCTTATGTCTGAAACAGGGTGGGTGTGACCTTCTGCAAAGGTCATTGGGAGGTGTGCAGGCCCACCACTCTGCCCATGTCTGGCACACCATGGGTGCTTGGGAGCCTAGAGCTGCTTTTACCCCCAGGGACCACGCTGGGCAGAGAATTCTGAAGGAAGATTGTGCCACAATGGTCTGGCTGGCTCCTGGCTGTGAAGTACCCCAGCCCCCCAGGATTGCCACTTAACCCCCAGGCACCAGCTTGGATCAGCTCTTAAGCATGGCACTCAGTAAGTCTCGGGCAGAGAGGCACGCACAAGATACATCACAATGGGTGAGGCACATTTGCCTACGTCACTGAGCAGGAAACTTCTACTCTGGGTCAGTCCAGAGCCTCTGATGTTTGCCCCATTCCAGGAACAAATGTCCTGTGGCTGGCCTTGGAGACCTCAGGACCTAAAACTTGGGCCTGCCTCTTGCCTGGGTTTTTGGCCAGGAATCTGGCCTTCTACCATGCCCCGAACACACCTGCTCAGCCATGTGGATCTGCTGGAATTTTTGGAAAGACAGCTCACTCATGCCTCAGCATATAAAGGTTTTCTATCTCTGAGTGATTTAGCTGATTGTTATTTGTCTTTAAATCCCTGGTTCAGTCATCACTTCTCACTCTCCCGTCTCTGCATTCCTGCACTGGTTAGGTACCCCTCCTCCGGGCTCATGCACCTCCCTATTTCACGCCTTTTAAAAATTTTCATTAACTTATTTTTAGAGTGAGGGGAGGGGAGGGAGAAAGAAACATGAATCTTCTTACATGTCTCCAACCTGGGACCTGGCCTGCAAACCAGGCATGTGCCCTGATAGGGAATCGAACCAGCGACCTTTTGGTTTGTGGTATGACGCCCAACCCACTGATTCATACCAGTCAGGGACCCCAGTGGCTTTCTTTTTCACACCACTTATGCCTCAATGGCACTGCGAGTTTGCTTGTAGGTAGGTTCTGCAATAGCACCTGGTACATAGTAGGTGCTCTGGCAGTGATTACCGAGTGAATGAACTATCAAACCTACATCTCGCTTTTCTTCTCAGTGACCCTGTTCTCTGAAGCTCCTATTTGCCAGCAACTGAGCCATGTCATATCCAGGCTTCGAAGAGCAGAGGAAACAGCCCAAATGGGACAGGCACCCTGTTGTAAGACCCCAGCCACAGCCTGCAGGGTTTAATCTCATCATTAGCGAATCTCAGGTACCTGTGTGTGATTACTAGCTGTTTAAATTATATTTCTGAAGAGACAAATTATTAAAGATTTGGGTATGAAAGTGGTATAAAGGCAAATCTTTGACTCTTGTGCATACGTCTCAGCTCAAGCTGAGGGTGACAGTCTGAGGCCAGGAGGGAATGGGCCCAGGAGAGAATGTCTCTTCACAGAAGGACCCACGAGGGCCTGACAGACACCCAAAACACACATACCCCTGCCTGCCTCCCTCAAGCCCTGTGGTAAATGGAAGGGGGAGGAAGAGGCAAGTTCCGGGAAAGACCCAGCGAGGCCAGATGAACATCTGCCCTTAAAGTCCGCCCTCCATCAGTTCTGCTACTCCCTACCAAGGTGACACACACTTGATTGCACCCAATCCATGTCCCCCTGGCATGGGGACTCGGAGTCCATGGTGCCTTCAGAACAGCAGGCAGAAGTGGGGATGCAAAGGGCACAGCAGCTCTCACCAAATGGCTGCATCGCTCTCTGGGATGCCAATCAAAACCTGCATCAAATTGGGAGGCCCAGCACGGCATGAAGAACTCAGGGAAGTAAGGTCTCTTTAGGTCTGGGATGAAGGGTAAAGGTCTCAAAGTGATAAGGGTTCCCTGGATGTGGAAAGCTATTCCAAGTTACCACCAACATCCACCCACAAAAAGAACATCCTCAGAAATGACACTGATAATCAAAACTACAGCGAGATACCACTTCACTCCCACTAGGATGGCTATGATAAAAAATGACAGACAGTAAGAAGTGTTGGTCAGGAAGTGGAGACACCGAAATTCTCATCCATCATCGGTGGCAATGCCAAACAGTAGCTGCCTTGGAGAACAGTTTGAGGAGTCCTCAGAATGTTAAACGTAGGTAGCATATGACCCACAATTCTACTTCTAAATATATATCCAGGAGAAATGAAAACATATGTTCATACAAAGACTTGTTTATAGCAGCTTTATTCATAATACTCCAAAAGCACAAATAACCTAACTGTCCATCAGCTGATGAGTGGAGAAACAAAATGTGGTGTACACATACAATGGAATACTATTCGGTCATGAGAAGGAATCAAGTGCAATACAGAGCAACCTTGAAAACACGTGCAGTGTGAAAAGCTGGTCACAAAAGACCACATGTTGAATGATTCCATTTATATGAAATACGAAATGTCCCAAAGAGGCAAATCCAGAACTAGGTTAGTGGTTTCTAGGGGGTGGGGAGAGGCGGCAAGGAGGAGGGACTGCAAATGGGTACAGTTTTGGGGGGGAGGGGAGCGGGTTATGAAAATGATCTGGAAACTGGTCATGGTGAGGGTTGCATAGCTTTGAGAATAAACTACAAACCGCTGAACTGAATACTTTAAAAGGTGGAATTTTATAGCATGCGAATTGTATCTTTATTTTTAAAAGAGGGAAAGATGACGCCAGTGAAGGAGTTAGCGGAACTGAAACGAGGAAAGGGAGCGTGAGTGTCGCCTGTCCCCATCGCATCCATCTGAACGAACTTTGGGCCCAGGGATGGTGTACCAAGAGGGCCTGGAAAAGCAACTCTGGAGGCAGGATCTAGAAAGACACCCGCCTGGGGATTCTAAGAGAATGCGGTTAAAGTGGCGATCCGGGATCGCTTAGGACTGGGGAGGCTCAGAAGTTGACCGGGCCAAGCGGAGATTTAAAGGTTGGAGCGCAGAGGCTCTTAAAGGGGCCCCGGACAAATTCCCATTCTGCGTCCACCTTAAAGCCAGCTCCACGGCGCCACGGGTGGGACCTGGGTAAGTGCGCAGGGCCGCGGGGGAGGCACCAAAGCCAGCTCAGTTCTGTGGCCGGACTCGCGCGCCCTGCTGTGTCCGGGGCACTACGCGCGGGTGGCTGGCACTCGGCAGGCAGCGCGTCCCAGCGCCAGGGTGCAGGCGGGGGCTGTGGGGTAGCGGCGTGGGGCCCGTCTACCCCCGCGTCCCGGCAGCGCTCTATTTTTAGCAGGCGCTGTTGCAATATAAGGAATGCGCCGCGCGGCAGGCGCTCCGGGCGCTCGCGGGCTGCGCGGTCGCTTTAAGGAGGCGCCGGGGTGGGGACGGGCCAGAGAGGCCGGCGGGCCAGGAGCCATCAGTCCGGCTGGAGCATGAAGGAGGCGACCTGAGTGCCAGAGCCCAGCCGGGGCTGGAGCGTGCGGTGAGTGGTCGAGGCAGTCGGGGACAGGAGGGAAGAAGAAGGGAGGGCGCCCGGCCGCGCGGCCCCCGGCCCGGGCTGGCGCTTTGTTCCGGGGCCCGGAGGTGTGGCCGCCCCCGGCCGGGCCGCGCTCTCCTAGCTGAATGGGCTTTGGGACTGGCGGTGAGTGGTCTTTGACCCCAACGCAAGCTTCTGAATAACGGTGTACGATCGATCGAGAATTCGGCCACGACTGAGACTCCAGTGGGGAGGGCCTGCCCACCTCCCAAAGAGCCTCTGTTACGATAACTGCCCTTGGGTTCCTTGTCTGCCCCGGCGAGAACCCGCGGGGAGGTGGGCAACGCTGCTTTGGGAGTCGGGGGGCTTTCTCCCCCTTTAAAATGGCGTTAACAAGCGCTGGGGTCGGCGGGTGGAGTTGTCAAATTTAGCTGAATAACAAAAAGCTGCCTTCTTCAAAAACAACTCCTCACTGCGCTTGGCGCTCTGGTCACAACTAGGGCTGGGCTCATTCATTGACCAGACGTGGCTGGAGCCCCCACCGTGTGTGGGGCACAGTGCCAGGTGCTGCTCCGCGGGGACGGTGGGGGTGCAAACTGAGCCATAGCCCAGCGTGGTCGGTCCCGGGATCAGGGAAGCTCAGGGGTTCTGAGAGTAGACAGTGTGGAAGGTCAGGGAAGGCCTCCCAGAGGAGGTGATGCCTGGCCCTATTAGACTCTGTGGCTGAGACGGAAGTCTGTGCTGACTGGGGACAAAGCTGAGCCTGGAAAGGTAGACAAGGGCCACTTCGTCATGGTCCTGATCCCAGAGCTCTGGGCTTGCCCCTCTTCCCACCATGGGCCCCTGCTTGGGCTAGCATAGTTTTTCCTGTTCTAGGACTCAACTGTTCTGGACCTGACCAGAGAGGGGGACTGGCAAGGCTCAGAATTGTGGCCCAAAGAGAGCGACCTCCCTGGCAGCAGGAGTAAGAAGGAGCTCTGACTTGGAAAACCCGGCAGCTCTACTGAAATAAGAGCAGCCAACACGGCGCATGCAGACCAGGCATCGGTGTGCTTGATCATCATTTGAAAAGACTCAGAAAGATTTTATTATTATCCTCATATATGGGGTGAACGGGGGCTAAAAGGGTCCACAGCGTGCCCAAGAGCTTTTCTAGAGATCATGCTTTAGACCGTGCAGCTGTTCAGGACCCTCCCGTGAAGGTCAGGCTGTCCTGCGCTTGAGGGCTCCAGGTGCAGCCTGTGTTAGGCTTTTGCTCTGTTGCTGTTCTCTGGTGGGTTGAAGTGAGGGGTGGTGAGCGGTTCGTATGTATTAATAACTGACACGTGCCAGGGGCTTTGGTCTAAACAAAGCACTTTGACGTGACAGTTCTTAGAATTTCTCCTGCTCCTCTTCTGAGGGAAGAAACTTGAGCTGGCTAACATTTTGTAAATCTCCTAATTTCCTGTAAATCGCATGTCCCTGCGGACTGGGGTTTAAAATGTTTCAGGCCACTGGGTTTCACCCTTGGGTCTGCTCTCACTGCCTCGCAGCCAGTTAGCTTCTCTGTCTGTGGTTTATGGTGTTGTTTGTCCTTTCTGTGCCAGGGCAGGCGGCATGGGGCTTTGATGCTCTGGGGTTTTCAAGGCTGCAGGGTCTGCCAAGCCTCTTTGTGGGGAGGAGTGGGTGTTGAGTAAACCCAGTGCTCTGGTGGAAACTGCCGCCCCCTCAACATTTTCTTATGGAGAAGGAGGGTCAAGACCCTCTGCTGAGCCCTGGTGAGGCAAGCGACAGTCTTCCAGAGTTGCCAGCTTTGCCTCTGCATAAAGCAGTTAGTATTTTTCCACTACACTCATGTTTTCATCTACATAAGACGTTTTGGTGACAGGTATAACTTTTATTATTAGCTCTAAGCACAAGTATTTCACACCTTCCGTTGTCTAGGCTGCTTATAAAGTGACAAGTTACCATCCCTGGGGTTGGTTCTCGAGCTTGAGTGATGCTGGAACCAGGGGTTCTGATGAACTGAACTAGCTTCCAGGGTCCTCACATCAGTCAGAATCGCATGTTGAGCCTTCTAGAGTGAGTGAGTTCTCAGGGAAATGTGACCTCTATTTTATATTTCACATCTGGTGTGATCCTTGTTCTACCCATGAAATGCCCCCAAATGGAGTGTGCTTCCCCGCAAGTGATTGAAAACATACGTGCTCATGAGCATTGCATCATTTATACAAACCATACTCATATGAGCTAAGTGGGAACACATTCTTGGGCAAAGGTGGAATGTTCTCGAGCGTCCAGAGGGTGTGCATGGAATTCCAGAAGCTCTGTACCTTCCAGGCCCAGGACAGGTATCTGGCTGGCTCTAAGGTACAGTTACTTTTGTCTGGGGATGAGAAAAAGGAAGGAGCTGGGGGAGCTCCCTGTGCCCTGGGGCATCTGGCAGGTGCCCACTCTCTAGAGGCTGAACAGAGAATTCAAGCTCTGAGAGGAATTTTGTTGATGGACTCTAAGGACTTGCCAACCCTCATAGTCTTGGGTGATACCACTGGGCCCCTATGGTACTGGGTCAGTGGGGATGCTTTTGGCTGCAAATAACAACACCCAAGCAATAGTGGATTAAGCAGAGTTTAGATCTCCCAAAAAGATGCTCTCGGCTCATGTGAGGTCTCTGTACACGGGGATGGGATATTAGTGCCACTTCCAGCAAGTTCTTTCATGGGACAGGCAGCCTCTTGAATATGCCAATGAGAAGCCCAGAGAAAAATTGCTTGGGTGTACAAAATCGGGCATACAATTCAGGGGATTCTGGGATCTCTGAAAGCGAGACCTGGATTCCAGTTAGTTCCCCTGGTCTAAGCCATGCTGCCTCACTCCTGTTTACTTAGGCCTTACTGTGTCGCTGTACCTTCCCACCAGACCAGCATGTCTTTATGGTAGAGACAGTGTCAAGAATGGAAATAGAGAGGGACGGTTGTCAGTTCTCAGCCTGAGCTGAAGTCTGTGCAGTTCACCAGCGAGTCTGTGTTGTGGAACTCTGACCAAGAGGGCAATGCTGCCGCCGCCTCTAGCTTCAGACAAACCACGGTTGCCCTCCTTGGTGCCTGCCATGCATTCCTTGGTGCCCATCTCCAGCCTTCGGGGTAGCCTTCCTGCTGCTTGTGATGAGGTTTCCCTGCCTGTTCTCAGAGACTCTACATGCTGGCCCTCCTTGGCCTAGTCCCCGCCCCTGTGCCCCTAGGCCCTTTTAACTGGTGACCCTCCTTGGCCTAGTCCCCGCCCCTGTGCCCCTAGGCCCTTTTAACTGGTGACCGTGGCCCAAGGCAGCTTTCTGAAGCCATCTCTCTTGAGCAGGTCATAAAGTAGCAATGTCCTTTAGTATTCATTGTCCTTTAGTATTCTTAGTAGCTTCACTAGGTGGGGCCTGCTGATGGCCAATGACCAATGGCCACATGACAGCGCGGGTCATTACTGGTTGCTGAGGTGATATTCTGGGTCTCAGAGGGGCATATTCTCATCAAGAGAGCCTGGCATCTGTCTGTTGAAATTTACATCTGGGTTGTATTGCTAATGAGATTTTGGAAAGCACCAGGAGAAGATTTGGCTGTGAAGCGTGAGCGGAGGGTAGGGTGGAGAGCGGGGAGCTCTGATCCCTGGCTCCCGTCCTCTCTGACTATCTATAGGGCCTGGGGTGGGTCCCGTGCTGCAGGGGCCCAGGCACCATCTGTGACTTCTCTGCTGAGCCCTCAGGGTTGTCAGGGGGATTAGGTGAAATACACAGATGAGAACAGGCTTGGGAAACCAGGAAGGGTTATAAAAATCAAGAGCATTATCAGCATTCGAGCAACCTTCAGATAATGAAGCAGAGTCCCAGAGGGGGCCCCGGGAGCCGATGTGGCCTGGGTTCAGACTCAGTAGAGCGTATTTCCCGTAGTGGTGAGGGCGATGATTTTAGGTGGGACACAGACAGCTTTTAGTAGTTATATAGTTGTTTATACTTAGTATTAAAAATGCAGGCATCACATCAAATCTTTTTTTTTTAATGGATATTTAGCTCAGACTAAGGCTAAAGAAAGATTTTTAAGTGATCCCTTGAGTAAAGACTGGGAAACTTTCAGCAGGGGTCCCTCCCATGCAGCCTGTGAGGCTTTAGCCAGATCCTTCTAGAGACAGGGAGCTTGTTGCCCCTCAAGTCAGTCCACTCCACTGGGGGATGCGCTCATCCTTGCAAAGTTCTTTCCTTTCTCCCCTTACGCTGTCCCACTGGGTCTGTCCCATATAAACCTTTGACAATCATGCATTTCTCCAGCACCAGCAGCTCTACTTGCTTCAACCGCCCCTCAAATGGCTTGGTCTAAAGAACCGCCCCTCCGTGCGTCTGCCCGCCTGTCCTTCCCTCCCAGCTTTCCTTCAGCAAAGACTGGTGGGCCAGGCACTCTGTATTCGCCATCTCTAAACCTCACAGTTTTGCTGTTAGCCTTTTACAGGTGAGAGGCCTGAGGCTCAGGGAGTTTAAGCAGGCCACCACAGTGCTGCTCTGAGAGAAGCAGAGCCTGAAAGGAGCCTGACCAAGGTCTGCCTGGCCCCAAAGCACACGCTCCTTCTGTCACTCTGCACTGCTCCCGGAACTGGAGGACCGAAATGGACACGTCTCTTCTCTCCTGCTGCTCATGGGACATGTCCTGTGGGGGTCTGACCGTGTATGATCAGTGCTACAGGGGAGGGAAGGCCTCACGAGGAAAGGGGACAGATCAGCCCATGCACAGCGGTGTTAGGAAGCAGCAGAAGCCACAGAGGTGCAGAAACAGCTGTTTGGCAGAGAGGCAGACAGAGAACCCGGATGAGAGTCAGCCACGGACCCCTAAATCATTTGTGATTTGTTATATTTGAATTAAAAAAAATAACAATGGAAAAATATAAGGGATAATATAACAAACAGCATGTACCCATGACTCACTTGATCCTTTTCATGACAAGGCAGGACTTAAAACATATCCCTTATCTTTTGTGTGGGCCTGTCTCAGCCT